TAGAGAGGTCCCCAGCTGGCTGAGCAGCCAGGGGAAACAAAGGCTGGAGGGGGAAGGTTGAGGCAAGGGATGGGACGAGGGAAGAAAGGAATAGGAAGCAGGCCGGGCTGGCCCCCTTTGAATTTCTGTTTGGTGGGATGACTGAGTAAGACCACATGGCAGAAGGGGCCTTTTGGGCTTTTCTGGGACATCTTCTAATCATTTCTGGTATTAGATCCCCCTTTAGCCTTCTGGTCTACCGTGGGCTCCAGGGAGGCTGCTGAGCGATAAGACATGGAAAGGAAGATGGGGCCTCAGAGGTACAGAGGACCTGAACTACCAAGGCCACTGTGGAGGAGGGCAGCTTGACAGATATGAGGATGAGGTTGTGCCAGTGTCAGAAAGGGGCCTCCCATGGAGGGGACCAGTGATGAGCCACAGTCCCTCCACTTCCCTTACCACCTGTGAAGTAAAACGGAGGGGGCGGTGGTCATAAGCAGTAAAAACAGCAACATGACCTCTGGAGATGCTGTTGGGGGAGGGGGTCCCTTCCTTTGCTCTGAGGACACTCCCTGGGCAATGCCCCCCCCCACCGAAACCGGCATGCAGCGCGAGGCTTGGACCCTCAGACCTGATGATGCCTCTATGCTCTTGGGCCTGCAGCTTGCACAAGAACCACTGGTTCATTTGAGGAGATGGCTGCCTGTGGCTCAAGTCCTGTGTCCCTAATGCTGTCCCTAAGGTAGGGGTGGCAATCAAGCGAGGGTCAGCACCAATGCAGTCACACGTGCTTGTTGGCTGGGTGAACTTTGTCTTCCCACGAACTCCTGCCTAGGACTCTATTGAGTGAGCCCAGCTCAAACGGGGCCACACCCCTGAAGTTAGCCTTGCCAGATAAAAGGCAGATTCTTTGTTTTAATTCTCATCCACCTCCCAGTCAATTTCTCTATCAGTTCAGAATCCAGAGATTAGGACCATTAGTCTGTTTTCCAATTTCTTTCCCAGGAAGGAACCCTGTAGTCAGGTAGGTCCCAAGTCAGGTTTCAGTCTGTCACTAACCACTTGTGTGGCCTTGGGCAAGTCATGCACTAACTCTCTCTGAGATTCTCAGGTGCCTACCACCTAAAAAGTGCCTGGAGAACCCAGAGAGGAGCATGTCACCTTCCTGGGCGTCAAGACATTTGGAGTGCAGTAAGGACAAGAAATCACACACACACACACACACACACACACACACACACACACACACACCACACACCACACACCACACCACCCAGGGAAGAGCCCAGCATGCTGGAATACATTGTACTTTATGCAGTGATCGGCTATGGTTTGTGTCCCCCAAAAGACTCAGGTATGGAAGCCTTGGTTCCCAGACGGTGGATCTGATCCTTGAGAATTGAGAGGCTCTTGAGGGCCCTGACTTAACTGGTGAGTTGACGCAATGATGGGCTCATATTTGATGACATCATCTGTAGGTAATAGAAACTCTGGGAAACAGGGTCTGCTTGGAGAAAGTAGGTCATTGGGAGGCTTTCCCTCAGGGGCCGTAATTTGTCCTGGATTTATTCTCTGCTTCCTGGCCACCATGTAAAAAGGCAGCCTCCACTACCCAAGCTCCCACCGTCATGGTGCTCTGCCTTACCTCAGGACCAAAGCAATGGACCCAGCCAACCATGGGCTAAAACCTGTCAAACCCTGAGCCCAAATTAACCCTCCTTCTGTAACCAGTTTCTCTCAGGGGTTTTGTATCAGTGTCTGGAAACCAGCACCACAAGTTCTGAGACCCAAGCAGGGTTGTGCCCGGGGAAGTGAACCGTGGGACTTGAGGTGATAGATGGGACCCAAGTAGGTAAAGAGTGTGGGGTGGGAAGGCTGTGGCTGCCTCAGGGGGTGAGTGAGAGCAAGAGGGTACAGACAGTACCCATGGACTCACAGTGGGAGTGATCAGGCAACGAGGCCAAGGCAGAACTTGGAAAAGATGAAGCCAGCACCAGACCTCTGTCTAAAGGGAGCATTTACACTCACGGTTCTCATTTATTTTATTATTATTGTTACTATTATTATTACTTTCTAGACAGGGCTTCTCTGAGTAGTCCTGGCTATTGTGGAACTCACTCTGTAGACCAGAGAACTCAGAGATTCACCTGCCTCTGTCTCCTCCCTACATGTTATTTTTATAAATAATTTATTTTAATTGTATATGCATTGGTGGTTTGCTTGCATGCATGTCTGCGTGAGGGTGTCCCATCCCCTGCAGCTGGAGTTACAGATAACTATGAACTGTTGTATGGATGCTGGGAATTGAACCTGGGTCCTCTGGAAGAACAGCCTGTGCTCTCAACCGCTGAGCCATTTCTCCAACCCCCACCCACTGTTCTTAAAGTCCCACCTGCATTAAAATCTGAGTCCCACCTGAACAGCGGGGCTGGGCGTTCAGGATCTTGCTCTGTGCCAAGACCCAAGGGCCAGCATCCAGCAAGAGGAAACACATCTCCCCTCTCCTCCCTCCCACCCTACACTTTCAGGAGGCAGCCCTCAAATGGGGCTTGGAGCTCATCCAACACTTCTCAGTTTTAATCGACTGAAGGCCTCTGGGATGGAGCTGGCTCAGGCTTCCCTCCCTCTGCCATCTCCTTCCAGTTTCTTCTTTCCTCTCTTGGCCTCACTCCTCTTGTTCCTCTGTTTTACTCTCCAGAGAGGAAGATCAGAAAAGCATCAGGATCCTTCCAAAACAGATCCAATCTGGCTCGCGTCTCCCCATTTCTTTGTCCCCTGCCAGAACCTACCAATCCCGGACAAAGACTAAAGGAATGCAGAGAACTCAGGAGCAGGGTACACAGACATTTGCTTTGCTGCTTTTAGACTCCAAGGTCTTCGTGCTCTTGTTCATCCACTCACTCCTTAGTTAGCCCTCCCACCCCATCCCCCAGTGAACATTTAGAGCATGGCAGCCCTTCTCTAGGCCTGGGAGGCATCAATGAACAAAGCAGCCCTCCTCCTTTGGAGGAGACGCCAGCTCTCCTCCAGCCTACATGCTTCTTACCATGTGAGCAGAGAAGAAACAATGTAATAACTGTGCAAATTGCAAAGTGTGCTGAGAGAGAAAAGCTTGTGGAAGCAAGGAAAGTGAGTGGTGGGAAGCAGAGGTGGGAGGGGGAAGGGGCGAGAGTGGAGGTCTGATCCACCGAGCAGGGAGGACAGTGTCTCTATGCGCTTTGAAGAGAGCATCTTCCTCAGGGGCGGAGGCTAGCGAGAACACTGGAAGCTCCATCCTGAAGAGGAGCACAAGAGGAGAGCTTGGGTTCCTTGCCACGATCAGGGCCCAGACTTTGACTCAACTTTAATAGGGTAGCATCGCTCCTTGAGCCTGAACTTAAAGAACAGCACCCCAAATGCAACAACCTCAGAGATAGCCACTGTGTCCCCTTCTGGCAGATGAAGACACAGGCCTAGAGTCAGTCTGGAACCCACAGCCCCTAGCTTCACTGCACCTGAAGCTGGGGCCCAGGGGACACCTACTCAGGAAACTAACACAGCTGAGACCCTCATCAATCTCTGTACCACCGATGCTCTCTGACAGGTCTGTCGTCAGCTTGGCGCCAGGAAGCACAGGGCCAGGCCCATTGCTTGGTTTTGTTTCTCTGGTCCAAATGATTGTTTTTGATCTGAGATCCAGAAAATAGGAGAGGGAGAGGGGAGAAAGAAAAGGTGGTGGCCCTAATGGCACCCCACATTGCAGGCTTCACCCCCACTCCAAGCCTGGTGTCCCAGGTTGACCTTAGGTGACCCCTTCCAATTATCCCCAACCCCAGTCCTTTCTGGCCAAACCTGGCCTCTTTACTAATGTGCCAATGAGAAGAGAACCAAATCAAGAACATGGTTCAGCATCACCCTTGCTGATATATTGAGCAAAGCAACACACACACACACACACACACACACACACACACACACACACATACACACACGCACACATGCACACATGCACACAGGCATGCATGTATGTGTGTGCACCTTCCTTCACTTCCCTCGAGTAGTCAGGACATTGCCCCAGTCTGGGGAACAATCTGACAGAACTTTCCCCCACCTCTTCTCTTTCAAAATCTTTTTGTGACAGTTTGTCTTGATTGACAACTTGATGGGGCGTGGAGTCACCTCAGAGACACATCTCTAAGTGTTTGTGAGGATGTTCGGGCGTCTTTAAATGAAGGAGGAGACCTACCAGTGCTATTCCATGGGCAGGGGTCCCAAGTAAATAAGATGGAGAAGGGGAGCTCAGCACCCCCGTTCATCTCTCTGCTCCCTGACTGAGGAGGAAATACGGCCACCACACTGTCTCTGCCATAACACCCTCAAACTGTGAGCTAAAATAAGCCCTTCTTTCCTTAAGGTACTTTTGTTGTACATTTTGTTACAGCAGAGGAAAAAATGGTACAGTCATTCTTCAACCCTTTTCCAGAAGCCATTTCCCTGTTTGACCTCAATATCCACCCTGAGGAGATCACTCTCAGGCCTGCTCTTCTTCCAACCAGCAACCGTGAGCTGTCTGAGGGCAGGTGCTGGTCCCTGACACCCAGAACACAGACTAGAACCCAGGGGAAGAGCTTACTGCTGAGCATCCCCAAGGGTGGGGGTCGAGGAACCCTTATTCAGAAGTTCAGGTCTCCTTGTCTGTCCATGCTGGGGCTGCCCCTCACCCCTCTCCCAGACACTTCTACCTTCCTTACATCTGCTCCTGTGAGGAAAAAGACCAGAGCCATCACTCCCGAGAGACGCCATTGACAGGGTGTTGCAAAACAAAGTACAGCTCTGGAGACTACAGCATGGACAGGGGCAGTCTCTTGGCAGTCAGCCTGAAGGCATTTCAAAACCACCCTCTCCGAAGTGGGACAGTGTTCTCTTCTCCCATGCAAGCCCAGTGAAGAGACACACAGAGCTAGACAGGGAGGAGGGCAGCAGGCGCTGGGTAACCAAGGCTGGGTGGAAAGCAAGGGTCCTCGAGACTTAGAAGCACTCACCATCCTCGCACAGGTTCAGCTTCGACAGGCTCCTGCCATCAAAGGGCTCTTCAAAGATAGAGCTGTTGTCCCGGTCATTCACAGTGTGCATGTACATGGCTTTGTTGTCCATCATGTCCTCGAGCAGTAGAGGCACCGGTAGCACAGGGGACAGAGGGACACCGAGTCAACTCTGTGGGAAACAAATGGTATAAGCAAGTCCTACCCATATGACCCCCAGCCTGGAGTGGGGTTCTTTCTACATCTACAGGTGCTAGGCACACCACCCAGGTCCCCGGGACCCCTGTATCTCCAGCCTCTCCCTGGTCCCTGCTAGAAGGCCAATCCCTGGACAGCTTTCAGCATGGGAATCTGCTCTTTTCTCTCAAAAGCTCACTGTGGGGCTGGAGCCTTAGGCTGGAGATACCATGGCCATGCTGGACAGCACTTGAAGGAAATGCTACAACCCAAATGGCATGTAGACAGCAGCTTCTGCCAGAGGCTCTCAACCTGTGGGTCATGACTATCAGAAAACACAAATGTTTGCATTATAATCCTTTAACAGTAGCAAAGTTAGACTTAGGAGGTCACTACAACATGAGGAACTGTATTAAAGATTCATAGTACTAGGAAGGTTGAGAGCTACTGAATAAGCCATCAACAGCTTGGGAGGGCCAGATAATCAGATAAGGGAAACTAGAGGCATAGATATATTGAGAGTTTTAGGATCAGCTGATAAAGTGAGATGGCCCCTTAGCCCCACAGTGGACCAAGGCAAAATTTATTTCTCAGGCTGAGCAGTCTCAATGAGCCAGGGGACTTATGCCTGTATGATTCCTCCAGGACTGAAGCAAGGTCTTGAGCTCTTGACTTGGGATATCCTCACATTTGAAGTGACCCAGCCATGGTGTTTGCACAACAGTGAGTCCTACACCATGGTATTCTGTTATGCAGAACTGTGTGAAGGCCATCCTCAGAGCCTGCTCGGGTGGCTCCGGGGCAGGAAGGCATTATGAGACCAGGCTGGAAGGGATTTTCTGAGTTTTTCTAAGATGCCTTTGCATTCTTTGTGTAATGAGAAAAATCCTTTTTGTAAAACCAAATTACCAAGTGTTTGTTTACACAAAATCCTTTGGCTTTTTCCTCACATATATGCCCTGTAATTTTACACGTTGCTTTCAGCACAGTTCTAACTGGCCATAAGTTTATGTCAACTTGTTTTGCTGATACTCTTTAGCTGTATAGCTATCTAACCAAATAAAGAAGCGGGGAGGAAGGGGGAGGAAAAAGAGGTAAAAGAAGAGAAAATAAGTCAGATGGGGTGGCATTTATTTTTCTTTAAAGTGACTTTTGGAAAAACAAAGCCTCTAGGAAGATGAATAAAATCCCAGCATGGAGGAGACCCACTGAGATCTTAAGAAACAAGCAAATCCCCACGGTCTGGGTGAGACGGCACAGTAACTGGAAGGTCCTTGAAGGGAGACTGCAATGGGTCTTGGAGTCACGAATCCCTCTTTAAATTCAGGGCATGAAGGAAGCATCAGTGGGGTTAATGAAGGGGAGACAAGCCTGGAGCAAAAACGTGTGCTCTCTTGAACTTGGTCTCCAGAGACTAGGACTTTGGGGCCAAGAAAAAGAGCCACTAACCAGAGCTCAACTGCCCCTCCAGTGACCCAGGAGCAATGGGGTCTCTTCTGCTCTATCGTACCAAGTAATGAGATGCCATGTTCCACACAAATTGGCTCACTCACTTGGGCACATACTTATACACACACACACACCCAGTCTCTTGGTCTTTCTTCCAGTCTATGGAAGAGATGGGAGATGAAGATGGTCCTTGGGTCTACCAGGATCTCTCATAGACAGCTCCCACCCAGCCTCTCTGAGTCTCTCCCCATAGTGTCCAATCTGCTAGTCTCCTAACACTGGCTCTGCATCCAAGCCCTCCACCCAACAAGGGCCTCTGGGTGGGGCACTGGGTGGCTCCAACCCTGCTCAGCTTTAGGGGATCCTCCCTGGTCTCAGGATGTGTGTGGTCCCTTCCTCTCTGGCCTCGATCTTGGGGAGTTACAAAGTAGAGGGCCACTGTTTCTATAGCTCTCACTCTGCCAAAGGCACCAGTGTCTGTAGCCAGAGGGCTCCAGAACCTACAGGGTGGGTAACCCTACTTTTATGCCACCTTCCTTCTCTCTTGATTGACTCCAGACTGCTATGATCTGGAATGTGTCCATCAGGCAACCTCTCCTAGCCATCCTCCCCGCCTCTTGGTTGGACTGAGAAGCAGCCTAGGGGAGCCAAGGGAAAGAGGCTGGGGCTGAGAGGGGCCACATGTGAGAGGGATGCGTGTGGAAATTCTCAACTCTTCATTACTTGGAAACAAAATGGAGCATGTTCTGCCTGCCCTGGTTTTATGTGGGGCTGGCAATGTTTTCTCCTTGAGAAGCAGAGAGCAGGTGAGGCCCTGGACGCTAAGACTCCATTGCATTTTCAAGCATTTCACAACTGACCATCTAGACTAGTGGTGATCATGCAAGCTGCTGGTGCAGTGTAAATGTCCCTTGGGCTGCAGACAGATCACCCCCAGGGACCTCCCAGGAGCTCCTCCTGGGAGCATTAGGAGCAGGCTAGGAAGATAGCCCATGACTTTATCATTCCCATGTTAAAGATAACTTAAGCAAGATTAAAGAGTCTGTATCTGACAGCTAACAACACCCTGAGAAATCCTCACATGCTCTGCACAGGTGTGGGATATCCTCACATGCTCTGCACAGGTGTGGGATATCCTCACATGCTCCTCACAGGTGTGGGATATCCCCACATGCTCTGCACAGGTGTGGGATATCCTCACATGCTCTGCACAGGTGTGGGATATCCCCACATGCTCTGCACAGGTGTGGGATATCCTCACATGCTCCTCACAGGTGTGGGATATCCTCACATGCTCTGCACAGGTGTGGGATATCCTCACATGCTCCTCACAGGTGTGGGATATCCTCACATGCTCCTCACAGGTGTGGGATATCCCCACATGCTCTGCACAGGTGTGGGATATCCTCACATGCTCCTCACAGGTGTGGGATATCCTCACATGCTCTGCACAGGTGTGGGATATCCTCACATGCTCTGCACAGGTGTCCCACAGGTGTGGGATATCCTCACATGCTCCTCACAGGTGTGGGATATCCTCACATGCTCTGCACAGGTGTGGGATATCCTCACATGCTCTGCACAGGTGTGGGATATCCTCACATGCTCTGCACAGGTGTGGGATATCCTCACATGCTCCTCACAGGTGTGGGATATCCTCACATGCTCTGCACAGGTGTGGGATATCCTCACATGCTCTGCACAGGTGTGGGATATCCTCACATGCTCCTCACAGGTGTGGGATATCCTCACATGCTCCTCACAGGTGTGGGATATCCCCACATGCTCTGCACAGGTGTGGGATATCCTCACATGCTCTGCACAGGTGTGGGATATCCTCACATGCTCTGCACAGGTGTGGGATATCCTCACATGCTCGGCACAGGTGTGGGATATCCTCACATGCTCTGCACAGGTTTGGGATATCCTCACATGCTCAGCACAGGAGTGGGGCAGCTCACAGCACAAGGGCTCCATTTTCTATCAGTTTGGGAAGGTGGCCCAATCTGCTGACCTCATCTAGCCTTCTGTGCTTCACTCCTGTGATATGAAGTCCATTCTCCTGATGCTCTGGGGGGGGGCAGTGAGCATCATGGGAGCTGATGCAGGAGGGAGGGCTTTACAAAGTCATACAGAGTAGCTGAGGAACAGGGTCAAGAGAAAACCCGCATCCCCATTAGTTAGGGAGATTCAGAGTCCTGAAGACTCCCCATTGCTCAAAAAGTCCTAGAAATGAAATTGTGTGGTGTTCCTTTGCAAAAAATGGCATAAAACTGAGATTAGGACCTTGGTTCTAGAAGTTTCTCTGGAAGCACCAAAAGGGCTAAGATGGATCAGGAGCCTCACTTGCAACTCTGAATCAGTTTCTGTGAGCTGTGGCTTCTAACTCAGCCGGGCTTACAGCTTTTTTTTTTTTTTTTTTTTTTTTTTTTTTTTGGGATTGCTAAGATCCTAAAACTTGTTTAAATAAGTCACTGCAAATGTGGCCTCTGAGAAAAAGTTGCTAGGTATATCTTAAACCCTTCCTTCTTCTAACTGTGCTCAGTTCTCTGGAACCTAACTCATAGCTGAAGAGGTACAGATGCTCCATTAATAACCTCCTGCATCATAATCCTACCCTGCTATATATATATATATGTATAGATATACATATATACATATACACATATATATATAGATATACATATCTATATATACATACATATGTGTGTGTATGTGTGATTGTATATGCACATATATGCATACATATATAGACATCATACATATATAGACATCATATATATACACATCATACATAACTACACATGCTCACATGTAAAAACACACATGCATACATACATTCATCACACACATAACCTCCCCTCCACACACACACACAGTGGCTGTTCCTTGACATATTTACTCTCTGAACAGGCTTGGAACTATGACATGATGAGACAGCCAGAGATGCCATTGAAAAACAGCATCCCTCTGGATTATGATGCCGGCTCATATTTACATCCCTAATAGCTGGGTCCTGGGGCCCAGATAACTACAGGCTCAGATTACTGGGACCCTCCCACCTGCAGCAGGCAGCTCCAGGTTCTGTGTCTGCAAGAGCTCTAGCCCTCTGTTTCATCAGCACATAGTTTCCTGCATCTGCCTTTGGGACATTATCACCCAGTAGCTCCCAGGTCAAAGTGTGGAGACTCACCTGTGTGCCTGTCCTGAGGCTGGAACCTGTTGCCTTCAGATCCCCGCAACTGCCATGGCAGCCAAAAAGCTGACTTCTGTCCCACGGAGACCCAGGCAGTCCCTTGAAGCTTGTCCCCACAGCCAGCCAAATCCAGATGGAGTCATAGAAAGAGACAGCAGGGGTCACCTAGTGACTTATCTCAGGTCAGGGCCACAGGGTCCCTTCTGCAGGAGAACCAGTTCAACCTGGTGGCTGAGTAAGGAGGGGTCTGTAGCTGGGACTCCCTGTCTTGGTTCAGCGGTCAGCCTCAGAAAGTGATCCGGAGATGTTCTGTGGAGGCTCCTGCAGCTC